CGGCTCTCGTGGCAACGTCTCTTTCACCAACACAGAACGCGGCGATCGTCGAGCTCCAGTCGATACTGCTGCACGGAATGCACCCCGTGCCCATGGCTTTGGCTCAGCGTACCAGCCTGCGGGCGATCCAGAGAGCAATGGCGACTATGACAAGGTGATGCGCAAGAAGAGTTTGGTGCGGCCGGATAGGGAGAAGATCGAGCCTGGCCATCGTCAGTGGCATTACCGCAGTACCGTCGCCAATTTGGAGCAGGAGGGTCCGGGCAGAGTTGGTGTCATGCCGTCTAGTTGGTTCCTAGCTGTTGTGGGCGCCAAATTACTGATGATTTGCAGCGACTGGAAATTACCCTCAACGAGAGGCGCTGCGGCGAGGAAAATCTCTACTGGCTCGCGAAGAAGACGTACACGAATCTGGGTTGTCTCTGTTCACTCGCGGTGCCACTCTGCGCCGCAAGCGCTCCTCTGCCGCTACACCTCTTAATCCCACTCCGAATCAGCAAAAACGAAGAGAGAGCTGTCTAGGCGACTACGTTGTGGGCCCTAAAGGTCCATGGATGTTGTACTGCTACCTAATTACCTGTCTCATTCCGACACCTCTCATGCGCGCATGTGGCCTCCGCTCCCCCGAACAACAGCGTGCCTGGCGCGAGAAAATGGGTCTCATCTCTCTCATCCTCATGCTCATGGCCGTCGTCGGCTTCATCACCTTTGGCTTCACCCAGGCCGTCTGTGGCACACCGCCAAACCGTTTCCACGGTGGCGCCATCGGCGACGCGAACATCGGCAAGAGCTCTGTTGTCATCAACGGCTACGACTATGATTTTGGTAGTTTCCACCACCCCGCGGCGGGGAGCACCTTCGACGGGACGACAAACCCGCTCTTTGTTGGCGGATGGAACATCGCAGGTAATGATATCAGCTTCATGTTCCAAAAGACGAACCAGAACTGTCTCGGCGTCGTGTCGAAGCCGAATACCAGCCAGATTACCGGCACCGGCGAGCAGTTGGACTGGTACTTTCCGTGTAATGTGTTCAGCCAGTACGGGCAGGCAACGCCGAATGAGACGGCGTATGGGTCAAACACGAACTGCCACACCACGGTCAAGGGCCAGCTCGCGAGTATGGCGCCGCAGGGGCAGGTCTACCTCACATGGGACGACGTCAAGAATACGTCCCGCAGCCTCGCTGTTTTCGAGAGGTGCGCGTCGCGTCTCTTTTATATATCTAATCCAATATCCGCGCCGCAGTTCTGTCCTTGACCTCTCGCTTCTCGCGTGGCTCGACCCCGCCCAGATCACCGTCCCGCCGCTCTTTAACGAGATGCACGCCGCAAACTCGTCGTGGGTGCGCACCGACATCACCATGCAGCTCAGACGCCGCAACCAGATGCTCCTTGGGCACTGTCTCCAAGACATGATCAGCGTCGGCTTCATCGACACAAACTCTATCGGGTGTGTCGCGTCCCAGGTCCTACTCTACCTCTCCCTCGTCTTCATCGTCGGCGTCGTGCTCATTCGGTTCGCTATGGCGTGCATGTTTGCGTGGTTCTTCTCGCAAAAGCTCGGCAACTTCCCGAAGGAGACGTACGAGGAACGCATGAAGCGGAGCCAGGAGATCGAGGCCTGGAGCGCGGACATATACAAACCCGCGCCGGGGCAGTACCGCCCGAACGTCAAGCAGGGCGGTGTCGCGATGGGCAAGGGCGAGAAGCGCAAGACGTTCCTACCGAGTACCAGTCGGTTCACACCTGCTGAGGGGCTGTCGGGCGGCAAGACGCGCCCCGCGACGGCGTACGGCGCGCTCGATTCTAGCTCGTCGAGTAACTACAAGCGGTCCACGGTGTACGCCGGGTCGATCGCTGGACACGGTAGCGGAACCCCGCCTTTCACGAGCGCGGATCGCCGTAGCTCGCGCAGCCTTATGTCGTGGGGTGGGTCGACCCCGCCTGCTGCCGTATCGCGCGGCACATTCGCCGAGAACCCGTGCCCGTTCCCTCTGCGCAACGTCGTTCCGCAGCCGCCGTCCGACTACGAGCCGTTCAACTTCCCGCTCGCGCACACCATCTGCCTTGTTACCGCATACTCCGAGTCCGTCGCAGGCCTACGCACGACGCTCGACTCGCTCGCCACGACAGACTACCCCAATTCCCATAAGCTGATATTGGTCATTGCGGACGGCATGGTGAGAGGTGCGGGGAACGATCAAACGACGCCGGAGATTGTACTGGGGATGATGCACGAGTTGGTGGTACCCGCGGCAGAGGTGGAGGCGCACAGCTACGTGGCGATCGCGGACGGGCACAAACGGCACAACATGGCGCGCGTGTACGCGGGGTACTACTTGTATGACGACGCCACCATCGAGCGCTCGAAACAGCAGCGCGTTCCCATTGTGCTCGTGGCCAAATGTGGCAACCCGCTGGAGGCGGGCGAGTCAAAGCCCGGGAATCGTGGCAAGCGGGACAGTCAGATTGTGCTGATGGCGTTCTTGCAGAAGGTGATGTTTGATGAGCGAATGACAACATTCGAGTACGAGTTTTTCAACTCGATGTGGCGGGTAACGGGCGTCGCGCCGGATCGGTACGAACTGGTGCTATGTGTGGACGCAGACACGAAGGTATTCCCGGATAGTTTGACGCGGATGGTGAGCTGTATGGTGTGCGACGAGGAGATTATGGGCTTGTGTGGGGAGACGAAGATCGCGAATAAGGCGGAGACGTTTGTGACGATGATGCAGGGTGCGCCTTCCATTTTTTTTCGTGTCGCGAAAATATTGACGACACGACAGTGTTTGAATATTACATCTCGCACCATATGACCAAGGCCTTCGAGTCCATGTTCGGTGGTGTAACTTGTCTGCCGGGGTGCTTCAGCATGTACCGCATCAAGGCGCCCAAAGGCGACTCGGGCTTCTGGGTCCCCATCCTCGCGAACCCCGACATCGTCGAGCACTACTCGGAGAATGTCGTCGACACCCTGCACAAGAAGAACCTCCTCCTCCTCGGCGAGGATCGGTACCTCACCACACTGATGCTGAAGACCTTCCCGAAACGTAAAAACATGTTCTGCCCACAGGCGGTGTGCAAGACTGTCGTGCCCGACACGTTCCGCGTCCTTCTCTCGCAGCGCCGACGATGGATCAACAGCACCATCCACAACCTCGCCGAGCTCATCCTCGTGCGCGATCTGTGTGGCACGTTCTGCTTCAGCATGCAGTTTGTCATTGGGATGGAGCTGTTAGGGACACTTGTGCTGCCTGCGGCCATCTCGTTCACATTGTACCTCATCATCGCGAGCGTCCTGCCGCACCACCCCGATACGACCGTGTCGCTCGTGCTGCTTGCGGTCGTGCTCGGGCTGCCGATGGTGCTCATTGTGATTACGTCGCGCAAGTGGGTGTACGTCGGTTGGATGCTCATTTACTTAGTGAGTCTGCCGATATGGAACGGTCTGCTGCCGGCGTATGCGTTTTGGCACTTTGACGACTTTTCGTGGGGGCAAACGCGGATGGTAGAGGGCGGGGAGGGCAAGGGAGCGAAGGGCGGCGTCGAGGGGGATAAGGAGGGTGAGTTTGACTCGACCCATATCGTGATGAAGCGGTGGGCAGAGTTTGAGAGGGAGAGAAGGTGGAAGAGTGGGACCACGAGTCGGGAGGATGAAGAGGATTATGCGTATAATCGCAAGTGAGTTCTGTTCCTTCCATTCCCCGACATGAGGAGCTGATAACGGACAGCAATCGGTACTCGCTCGCGAGCAACTCGGACCAGGTCCATGCGCCGTCGGCGGGTGTCGGGGACACGTCGACCGTCGAGACTGGATCGGGGTCGGCGACGGCGTCCGCGGCCGGTGGGTACGCGTCGCCACGACAGCGGCACGACAGCGCCGCGCTTCTCATGCTCCCCCAGCCGCTCGCCGTGTCGCGCAACACTACCGCCAGCGTCAGCTCCAACGGCGTTTCCAGCAACTCGTCCGTCCCACGCTCACGCTCGAGCGAGGAGGGCGGATTCGGCTTTGAGGGGAATACCTCTGCCCATCATTTGCTCCCCAGCCCGCAGAGCGCCGCCCCAGTCGACTCGTGGGGTGATGCGTATGGCGCGCCCTACGAATCGCCCCTACCGCAGCGGCCCCCGCGGGAGGTGTATGGCCGCGCGAGCATGGACACAGGGACCCCTCCCGGGAGTGCGAATCCGTTCATGACGCCGCGGATAAGCGCGAGCGCGAGCCCAGTGATGTACGACGAGCCGGAGGAAGCGATGTCGCCTGTAGGGTCGCCTGGGTCGCGGACGTTCGCGGGTGTGGGCGCAGGTGGAGGCGGCGGGGGGGCAGGAGGCAGGGGAGTGCGGCTGACTGATGGTGGGCCTGTGCCGGGGCCGGAGGGTGGTGTGAGGCGGGTGGCGAGACCGAGTGCAAGGCGGCCGACATCTCAGGCGCCGGTGGGGGCTGGAGGGCAAGGGCCACAACAGCAGCAACAGCAGAATCGGTACTCGAGGGGTTCATCGGTGGGCCCAGGGTTCAGCCTACCTCCGGGTGCGGCGCCGCCGCAGGCTGGGCCCTATGGACACTGAGGTGGATTCGCTGCCCTACGAATTGGGACCATATATCCGCACATAATTTTCTTCGCTTGTCTCGTTTTCCTTCAAATTTTGTCACGGACTAACAGTATGATACCTAACGTTTTTCACACTCTTATATCATGATCTGGCCATACATAACATACTACCTACAATGTGAGCGCTTTAAGTGACAGCAAATCCAATTCAAATTTCACGGACATTGCGCGGTCTCAAGCTCTCAAGATTCCAACTTGAATGGATTCGTGCGCATACGCAAGAATAACGCCCACCACCTACTCGACTCATCTAGCGCAATGGCAAAAGCAAAAATTCCTTCAAGCCATCAATACCTGCAATATCTTGAGCCAATCTTGAGCACTCACTGCCATTGAGTGACTCAGCAGCCTTGCAGACCGTACACATCTACCTCTGTGGAAAGCACCATAATTCCCTCTTAGCTCAGTTGGTAGAGCGCGTCACTAGTATTTCCAGAGATTACATCTTGATATACATATGACGAGGTCAGTCGTTCAAATCGGCTAGCGGGAAATTCTTTGTTTTCGTCGCATGTTTTTTACGCCAACGCTCTACATAACCGGCTGCGCACACCCTCAGTACCTCAGTACCCACAGCACACCATACAACTATTTAAAGCATCAACGAACAGAGTCAATTGCAAAAACGTACGTATTGTGTATGTATGTAGGCGGGGCAGCTAGCTATAAGTAATGGATGGATATGGATGGGATGGGGGATAATACTGAGTAGTGTACATACTACATATATACAGAGTGCGTTGATCATGACCAGGCGTAAGACCCAAAGGACCAAAATTGAAGGGAAAAGAAAGAAAGACGAAAAGAGGGAGAGGGACGAAGTTAAAGGGGGGGTAGGCTATTTATTGGACGGACGGGGCGGGGTAGTTTAGGTTTAGTGGGGGTGGGGCGGGCGGGGGGCTGAGTGGATGAAGTGTTAGGATTAGAGCATGATTGTGAATTGTGAGGGTAGGGGAAAGGGGAAGGACGTACCACCAACCTAATAAGTAACGCCAGTACTCTTTTTTATTTATTTTGGTGGTAGGGGATGCGTCAAGCACCCATGCGAATGCGGGTATATGTATAGATGTGCTCGGTCGATAGGCGCGGTGGTATCTTCGTGTTCTGTGTATCGTTCGTTCGTTGTGTCTCTTCGTCTCGGTGTGTGTCGTCGCGTCGCGCCTCGTCTCGTCCAAGCGCAAGACAAGACGGGGGTGGCGGATGGGGGTAAGGCGAAAACCACCGCGCACCACCTGCACCACACACACGCACGACACCGTAATGACGGAATCGTAAGCCGCACTCGGCCGGAGAAATGAACGCACAGACGAAGGGTCGTGGTGTGGGGGTGTCCGTTTTATAAGTAGGGCTTTGTGGTGTTTTATAAGTAGGGCAGCCTGGCCAGGTGCGAATCGAATCGAATCGTCGAATGAACAGAAGGTCGAATCGAATGAACAGAAGGGGGGGAGGTGCGTGCGGAGGGGGAGGAGGGGAGGGCGCGTGCGTGCGGAGGGGGAGGAGGGGAGGGGCGCGTGCGTGCGGGGGAAGTCAGAGTCAGCGTGAGGTGAGGCGGCGGCGGCGGATAGGGTTCGGGTTCGGAATCGGGATCGGATAGGGGGCAGAGAAGAGCTCAAGAGAAGACTCGGAAGCGTTCGTTATTCCTTGTGCCGACTAATCTTCTCCACCCCCGCGCTCAGCGCGGTCACCCTTCGCTTCGCCGCTTCCTCCTCGTCTTCGTCGTCTTCGTCGTCTTCATCGTCCTCGTCGTCGTCCTCGGCACCTTTCTCCCCCTCGCTTTGCTTACGCTTATCCGCACCCAGCCCTTCGTCCTCGTCCTCCTCCTCCTCGTCGCTCTCCGAATCCTCCTCGCTCGAGCTCGACCCCCTCGACCCCGCCCCCGCCACCCCACCCTCGCCCGCCCCCGTCCCGGTAACACTAATGACCGGCACCGCCGCCGCCCCCGTCCCCGTCCCCAGCGCGTTCGCCGAGCTCGACGCGCTCCTGTTGTGTCCGTGCGAATGGCTGTGGCTGTGACTGTGGTGGTGCCCCCAGAACCCGGCGGGGAGGTTGACCGCGCGCAGGACGTGTTCCTCCACCGGCGGGGTCGCGGCCGCAGGTGTATCCGTGGAGGGTGCTGGGGCGGGGGTGTGTATGGGTGACGGTGATACTGTGGTGGGCGGTGAGGCGAGCGGGAGCGGTGTGAGGCCCGAGAACGGCGGTTTATCCGCTGTGGGCGTCGGCGTGCCGCTCCCGTTGTCGGTTTGGTCCGGGGACTCGTCTGCCTGCCCGTCCTCTTTCTCTTTCGTCTTCGCCTCGGCAGCTGCGGCGGCTTTCTCCTCCCTCTCCGTCGCCTCCCGTGCCTCCCTCTCCTTCGCCTCCCTCGCCTCCCTCCGTCTCCGCACCCACCCATCCCGCTCCCGTCGTCGTCGTCGTCTGCGCCGCCGATGAGACGACGCCCATGCCCACCGCGCCGTTCGCGTGCCCGTTCGGCGTCGTTTTCGCGTTTCCGTTCGAACCTGTTGGACATCAGCCTTTGATGAGGGAGATGTACGCCGCGTACTGACCCGCGCCACCTTGCACGCCCTTCCACGCGGCGTGTCCGTTCCGCACGCTGCCCATGCCGCCGTACCCCCACTCGACGAACTCGGGCTCGTCATCGCGGGCCGTGGCGAAGGGGTTGCCTGTTCCGCAAGTAAGTAAGGATGTATATAATGAGAAATGGGAAATTGAACGGAGATGAGGAGAAGCGGGAAGAAGACGTAAAAGAGGGTATGGCGTGAGGGGCCTCGCGAAAAAAAAAGCAGGAAAGAGAAAGAGGGACGGACCGTTGGTGCGACTGCCGTAGACGCGGCCGTTTAACATGCGGGTGCCGCGCTTGCGCTCGGCGCCAAGAGAATTTGCAAACGGGTTGAGGGCGGGGGGAAGCGGGACACTGACGCTGCTGCTGCGACCCTTGCCCTTTGTACTTCCGCCGTCGCTCTGATCGACAGCAGTAGATGAGCCGATACTGAACAATGAGCGGCCGCGGCTGCGTTTCTTTGTTGATGTGGCGGTGGAGGTAGAGGTCTGACTCTGAGAGCGGGCCAAGGGACTGCCGTTCGTGGCGGAGGCACCGGAGCTCCAGCGCTGGAGGGAGACACCGAATGGGGGCTGGTCAGCGTCGAGGGACGGGGTGGGTGTGAGGCTGTCTGTGGAGGACGCGGGGGTGCCTCCCCTGCGGAACGGGTGCAGCAGGCTCTTGGGCTTCGGCCACGTGCCGCTCTTGGCGACGGGCGGGGGGTGGAAGCTGGACGGCGGCGGCAGCGAGAGGGACGGGCCGGGGAGCGGGGACGGCGGGAGCTGGTGGTGCTCGCGGGCCGGCATCGGCGACGGCGGCGGCTGGGCCAGGCGGGCCGCCTCGGGCGTGGGCGGGTCGTCGCGGCGGGGGTCGGGGAGCGGGGCGAAGCGAATTTTGGTGGGGCGGTGGTGCATGCTGTTGCTGGTATGGGAAGAGGTGCTCGATCCGCTCTCGCTCGACGCACTCGCAGAACTCGACAGCGAGTTGTGGACGGCTGGCTGGGCAGGAGAATCGGACTGCGGCGCACACAGCAGCGACATCCTCACAGAGTCAGCCTGAAAATCAATTTGACAACATCACTCTTGCATTCCGGCACTTGCCGGTTATCGCTGATGCCAAGCGCTTACGTACTCTTCGCAAGTCGCCCACAGAACGCAGCGCATCCTCAAACGTGCCACCATCCCCGCCCCATCCGGAAATTAATTTCCTCGGAACTCGTATCACGGATCATCACATTGCTCCAAAAACTGCTCTCGACAAGCAATTCTCCTTCTACGTCCTCTTCCTCACACTATCCGATCGTAGACTCTAGGCGCTCCGTGCAGGCCGTCTGTCGACGCGCTTCAACCACCGAGATTCGCTCACAAACAAATTCGGCTACCTGCGCGTGCGAATCCCATCGGCCCGCTCGGTCTCCCATCTCCTCAAGTTGCAACCTCAATGTTCCAGATCCAACTTACCGCTTCCACCCAACCCCACTGGCCACCAAGCACGCAAGAACGACGCACGTTGACGTCGCGACGCATACCATTCTGAATCTCCACAAATCTGATTTTTCTTTTTCTACGTTTCCCTATCTATGATACTATCGATACCGCAACTGCGAGTACGCCGGGGCCAACCGTCATCCTTCCCGGCTACATACGTATCGTCATCCCGGCATTCGAACCAGTGTATTTTTTCAACGCCGGTACACGTATTGCTACCGCCGCGGATTCTGTTCTCGACCTCGACGGATGTGCAAATCACGTCCGTACGTACAAACAACCTCCGATCCCTCCCATTCTCATCCACAGTGTGACACACGCAATCCTCCCATCCCATCCCATCCCAACCACAAACGTGCTTGCACGCCGGGGCCAACACACCACACCCGCGGCCTCATCACGGAACGTCTGGATTATCACGGAAGCTCACGGAAGTACCCAGCCAGCCACTTCGGACTTCGGCGACTCTCTGTTCGGCCCATGGAGAAGCCCAAAAGAAACCTTAATGACAGCGGAACCTAATTCTGAATCCGTTCTTCCTTCGGAAGTTCCTTCGAATCCTGCCAAGTTCGAACCGCCGTATCCCGTTGACCGGAAATCTCTTTGATGGTGGGGCCCGTCTTGTTCTCGAGAGTTCGATAAGTGAGTGAGTCGAGCCCTCCCACCCACCGTGCAGGGTCGCGCACCTCGCCGTCGAGTCGTTCTCGCGCCGCCTCGAACGTGCTTCGTCGACGTCCATTCAGCCAGACCCCCCCACTGCTTCCCAACACGACAGGCACCAGCAACCTCCGAGCGGCGAGCGTTCCCCCTGCTATTGCTATTGCTATCTACCGATAAGCAAGCCCAGATATACATCTGATTCTGATCTCTATTCTTATCGCACTCTCAATTACTTGTCTGACTTATCTCACTCTCACTTGGTCTGGAATCGCAGTTCGCCCCGGCCACAACCCATATACCTCCATTTTTTTGCTTGGAAGTTCGTAAGTACTGTGGTTATCAACTGCAAATCAAAATTCACGCCGTCTGAGGTTGACTTGGCCTTGACATTCGGAGTCCGAGTACTGGACTAGGCCCAGTGAATTTGTTGCCATGCACGAGCGGACCCGGCTAGGCGAGACACCCGAAAATCACCGCAGCGGTGGACCCACAAACGAGTTTAGTTTAGACATGAACGTGCCTGTGCCCGGTAACACCCGTCTACACATACAGTGCTACTTATCCTATCCATCCATCCATCCATCCATCATCCACCATCAGGACTCAGACTCCGAGCAGAGCCCTTCTTTTCACCATGACTCAAGACACTTCTTTTTCCTGAACACCCCGGGATCGACCGACTATCGCGAAATAAACACGAACGTTCCTGCCCTGCCCAAGTATCCGAGTCATCATGATACCCATGGACCCACAAACGAAGTTCGAATTTCGGGCTCGGGGCAAGCTCGGGGGTTGGGGGCGAACGGTTGG